TTGTTTGGACTGGATGAATGTGTGCCGTAGATAGTACTGGTTCAGTAGAGATCGAGCGCCATGCTGTTGGGGAATTTGTGGCGGTGGCGCTGGTTGATGTTTGGACGGAAGTTTTGCGAGGCCGAAGTGCGTGTTTAACTCGATGCTTTTTGAGGAAGAGGTATTGCATGTGGAACGGGGCCTTATGGTCGAAGTTAAATAGGAGTCTGGATATATAAGGACAGCAAAGGAGTGAAGGAACAGGCCAGCGTGCACATTGTGTTTCATCCCTTAGCTATAAACATATGGAACGAGTGGTAGTGCGAGTAGAAGTGGGAATCATCAATAAAAATGCGAGTAGGAATGGGAACCATGTTGAAAACAAGCTTATTTTGTTGCTGGCTTATTCTGAAACTGAGTTATATTCTGTTAAAAAATTCGCTTATTAAAATCGTATCATCGCTCGCGAAACCGACTATGATGAATTTCATTCAGAAACACATAGAACCCAGTGTTTAGAAGCATCTTGTTCTGCTGTTTCAAATAAGAAGCCTTTCAATCATCTTGCGTAATAATGTCATGCTCAGGTATCAGCAATGTAAAAGTTTTTTTTTGAGAAATCCAGGAAAAATTTGGAAATTTGACTGTTCCTGTACCGTGCCCATCGCGTAGTAGTCGGGGAAGTTGCCCCGTTTCTTACTTCCGAATATAAGCGATTATTTCCACCCGTCCAGCTAGAGCGTTATTACATCTTTTTGAAAAAAATATGGTTTTTTTTTCTATGATTATTTTCTGAATGGTTGAAGTCTTGTTTGTCGCAAGCGATACTATATTTTTTGAATTTTTTTTTTGAAAATATTTAAAAAATGTGTTGTAAAAAAAAAATTTTTATCCTCAGAAATTTAATGTTTTGAAGAAAATTTGTCCCTGATAGTGAAAAAATGTGCATTAAAAAATTTTTGAGAAATTTTTTCGCCTTAAAAAACTGGCATTCCATGTCAAGGAATTGTATCACTTTTCTTGTGAATTTTAATTCCGGATATAATTTATCAAAATACAATTTTTAACAAATTTTATTTGTTATTTTGCCAGTCTTACCATTGTATTTTCTGTAATAGAAATTTATTTGTTAATAATTTTTTTTGTTGGGCAAAAAAATTTTTGAAAAAAAGTTGCTTACTCGACAAAAATCTGATAATATCTCTTGCTCCATTGTTGAGTTCCTTCTTGCCATTGATGCAGTTGACCACTTCTTCATCCTTCTCTCTTTTAGGCTTATTTTGCCCACATAGTTTCATACAGCTGTTCAAGCGGTTCCTTCCAAAAGAAATAGTGCGATAAATAATTTTTATGAAAATTCCTGCAAATAATTTTCTACGCAAAAAAAGATTCGAAAAATTTTAATATTTTTTACTCGAATAGTAAAAATTGGGATTTTTTATTCATTGTTTACCTTAACTATTTAATGTTGAATTGTTTTAATTACTTATGTTGTTTAAATTATTTGTTTTATTTAAAATCATTTTATTCAAACTATTTGTTCTATTTAAAATTACTTTATTCAAATTATTCGTTTTATTCATTTTGT